ACATAGCCAAAGATACACCATTTCAAAAATTTCTACATGCACAGTTCAGTGACATTGATTATGTTCTTCCAGTTGTGCTGCTATTCTCACTTTAGATGAAGGTTTACAGAACAAAATAGTTTCTCATTAAACAGTTAGTACACATGTTGCCCTATGACAATGGTTAACAACCCCACTACATGTCAACACTGTCCTTGCTCAACCTTGGGTTCCCTATCACCAGCTTTCCTGTCCCCTTCTGCTTTCCAGTCCTTGTCCCTGGACTGCTGTGCCTCATTAGTCCTGTTTTGTTTTATGGGGCTGTCCAATCCCCCGGCTGAACGATGAACCTCGGAAGTGACTTCACGACTGGGCTAAAAGGGTATCTGGGGGCCATACTCTCACGGTTTCTCTAGTCTCTTTCAAGCCAGTAAATCTTGTCTTTTTTGTGTGTGTTAGAATTTTGTTCTACATCCTTCTCCAGCTCTGTCCAGAACCCTCTATTGTGATCCCGGTCAGAGCAGTCAGTGGTGGTAGCATAAGATTACTTTTTAAAATAAATATTTAGATGCTAATTTTTTAACATGCCACAGCCCTGCTCAAAACCCCTGAACGGTATCCTTCTGCCTAGCAATCTCAGTCCAGATAATAATTAATAATTGGTTTCACTTTAGCTAACCAACCTCATCTAATACCACATATAATGCAAACTCTCTCCTCAAATTAGCTATCTCCTTTTTACTCTCAGGTAAGGTCACTTTAATAACACTCTGTTACTCAGCATCCTCAAAAATAGGGATGATAATAGTCCCTACACAAAAAAAAAAAAGTAAACATGGTGAGGTGATAGGTTAAATTTGGGACATAGTTCAAGTTCTACTTCTTCTGTTTGTTTGGCTTTTTTTTTTTTTTTTTTTCCACATTTTTCTTCCTTTCTCTGTAAACCCTCAGCTGGACTGGCAATGTACCATAATGGTTAAGAACATGGATTTTGCTGTCAGACAGGCCCTGGTTCGATCATGTACTTAATGTTTCTAAATCTCAGTGTATTCATCTATAAAATGAAGATATATTAACAATACCTGTTCTCACAGTGTTATTATTAGGATTAAATTAGTTATGAAAATAATCTCTAATTTTTTCATGTGTCTTATCTGACAAATCGAAAATGCAGAAATTAGATTTCCTGCCCATTTTCCACCACTCAAGTGTGTAACGTTTGAATATGATGAGGTAAGTAAGATGAGTCTTTGGCAATGTTAAAGTTCTGGTATCAAGAAACCGCTGTTCTAATCCAAGTTTGCCACTGATTAGCTACATGACGAAGAAAAGTTACAATACACAAATATCCTAAACACTAAAAAGAAGATAATTCTAATTGCCACTGCTAGTCATTTAGGTATTGATTAGAAAAGTAAGAGAAGAGAAATTGAGAACTGAAAAAGAAGAAAAGGAATTCTTCACAGTTGTCTCTAACCAACCCTTCTGGTTAGATCTTCCCTGACTTCTTAAAAACTAGCTACATTTGGCTAGTTGTGACAGATCCACTTCTCACCCGGCCTTCTGCCCTAAGAGGCTGACATATATGCACCATATTCCCCAGAATGCTGGCTTCTCATTAGGTTTGGCCAATGTGAAGCCCAGCAAGATACCAGAGGGAGGGAAGAAAGTCTGATCAGGGTATTTGTTTCCTTTATTCTTCAGGCTCCTTCCCTGCAGGTTGCCATGTATTAAATTTATCCTCAAAGCTCACTGTTCCTCTCAAGATGGCCAACTCTTCACAGTTGTTTCCCTCTGGGTTCTAGTAATCGATCTTTCATTCATTATGGCTTAAACAATTGCTACTGAGCGTCATTCCCCCAAGTCTTTGACCTCACATGCTGTTCGCCTCTATGCTCAAGTTTGAAAGCAGTCTTTTTGTAAATAAAAAATTTTCAAACAATCCTATTTTGAGTGTGTCGTTGCTTCCTGTTGGAACTTTGATCAATACACACACTTCTGCTCAGGCATACTCTCAGATTAGAATGCGCTTCTTACCTCTGTCTCCTTGGTCAACTTCCGAACAAGTTCCCAAGCCCATATGAATATTACTGTGCCTCTGGGACTTTCCCTGTTACCATCATGGAATGAATAAACTGTCCGTTCTTTTTATTTATTTATTTTTTGCTCCAATAGCACTTTACTTTCAAAACACAAACACACATACACACACATGCCACTTCTGTATCACTATATATCACAATGCAGGACAATAATATACATTAGACCCTAGTTTATAGGTTTTTCCCGGGTAGGACTCATGTTTTACCTACAGTACCACAGATCAGGGACAGCACCTGACACAGAGCAGACAGTCAAAAATTATGTAAACTCAGTATGAAAGAACTTGGAAAAAGGGTTTTTGTTTTGTTTTGCTTTGTTTAAAAAATATATATATAAGTATAGTAATGTTATTAAAGGTGTATATTTTATAATAATTGACAAAAAATACCTTTTAAAAATAAGTCTAGTTTTGTATCCAAAAGAGTGCTGAAGGCATAAATAATATAGGTCTCATTATCCTTCAGGAAAGTAGACTTCTATCTTTTCCTTAGATCTTTATTTATAGCCTTTACTGTTTAATTCATCTTATTATATTATAATATAGTAAAAATATTTTGTTTTATAAATGTATTAAAATGTGAACAGACGACATTTACATGGCCAAATAAGCAGCTATGATATGCTATACTTTTTTCAAAGTGTTCAATTGAAAAGACCAGGTGTTTTGCAGAGAAAACAATGTTATTATTTCAGTGGTAGGTAACAGCTTTTTTTGTTAATGGTTACCAGATAATTCATAAGAGAGACAGCCTCAAGTGAGTTATAAAGGTCAATCCTTTGTGAACTGAAATAAATTTTCAAGTTCAATTTAAAACAAGATTTTTAATTACCAAGATAGACTACCTAGGGACAACTTTAGATTGAAAGGCCAAAAACCTCAAGTTAGTTGATTTTTTATAGAGAATTTAACCTTTCCCCCAAAGAAAATCTGATGCATCATTTCCCATAAATAGAAAACCAGTTATCTAATCATATTAAACATCTAAATGTTTTACATTTGAAACATCTAAAGACGACAAATAATACTTGGGAACTAATTTCTAGTTAATTATTCTCACTGAAATTTGTAGAGAATAATAATAAAAAAAGATTATACAACAGTTTACCTAATACTTGATGAATGTTTCTTTACTATTAAACATGGGATTTTGAAAGCCAGGTAGAAATATAAAAGCAACTTTTTTTAATCAGATTATTTCATTTCATCAAGGTAAAATAAAGTTAGTAAAAGAGATCGTAGTATAGTATAAAGCATAGCATAGAAAGTATATGAGATTTGGTGTCAGACTAACAAAGCAAATGTCTATCATAATTCTTAGTATATATCACACCCTCAACAATCACTCATTCCTAGTATTCAATCATTTTTCCTCATGTAACAAAATAAATTTGTTCACCATTAGATTGATAAAGTAGGTAAGGTGTCAGAGTTCATAAAATTTTCTAATTGAAGAAAGGCAGAACGCAATTCTCCAATACCTTAAAAAATTAGTATGTTTAGTTCTTAAAAAAACAGCCACAAAGCCTAAAAACAGAAAGCCTAAAACAGAAAGAAAGAAACAAGTACTATTTTATAACAATTGCCTTGCCTCACAGTTCCCATAAAATCAGACCTTATAAACCATGAAAGAATCAAGCAATTTGGTTTGTTCCTTCAAAGACTGGGCCTCAAAATAGCTTTAATATTCAATAAATAATTCTTAATTGGCTACTCTGTGCCAGGTACTGCTCTAAGAATGAGGAATACACAGTAGCAGCAAACAAAACAGCAAAGGTCCATACTTTCATGGAGCTTACAAAGTACATGGAAAAGAGATTATTTATATTAATTTTAAATCCCTCTTATTGTACACTATAGCTACTTTTTCTTTTATTCGCTACAGATTAAAAAGACCTCGGTTGCCATCCCAAGTTAAAATGTCTATTTATTTTAGATGATATGCTCTATATTAGGTGTCTATTTATTTCAGACAATATGCTCTATGTGTGGCAACATTTCAGTAATTTTCATACACAATTTTAATTTTGTTATTTGTTTTAAAAAAAAACTATGCCTTTTGGTTTTAAACATAATTTAAGCAACTCTGAGTTAATATTGTTAAATAGCAAATGCCCCAAAAATATTACTTCAGTCACAGGATTTATCGTGATAAAGGCAATGAATGCTATCACATGTCTAAGAAAGGGAAAGAACCACAAAGGGACGTGGAAATATTATATAATTATATGAGCTAAAAGTCAAGTAAATATTAAAGCATTGAGATGGTCTCCTGTACAACTAAAGGTCTTAAATTTATAGTCCAGACTTTGGGGCTCATCTCTCAATCATCCTTTCAGGACACAGGAGATGCCAGCCGTGTCTGCTCTGAGTGCAGAACCACAGACAAGCAGAGAAAGTGTGGAGGATGTTCAGCCTGCCTCTAACAGGCAAGCCCCCAGGCTAACACAGGTGGCTTTACCACAGGAGAACAAGAGGCCAAAAAGGAGAAGAACCTGGAAAAGCATGTCTCCAACACAATATCCCCACACACACATTTAAGTGGCTCATGGCAACATGAATTTTATCAAGACTCTTTACAGGTAAAAATTCTCTCTATATTTGCTGATTTGAAGACAGGTTTCCTTTTTTTTTATTACACTAAACTTTCTATTTTCTAAGCTAAACTTTTACAATTACTCAATCACTCTTTATATAAAGTTTCCAAACTCATGATAATAATATCTCGTCAGCCGAACTGTTCTAATCTAACACATTCCAATTTATCCCTCCCACCTTTAAATTTTCCTCTATGGGGACATTTAGACTCTTTCTCCCACAATTGTCATGCACTGATTGTACATTCCAATATTTTAAACTAACTTTGCAAACAGGATAAAAATAAAATAAGTTCAAATAAAAACAGATTGGAGGAAAGTACCTTTAATTTGGATCCATGAGGCACCACTGTAGATTTATTCTGCTTTGGTGGGATGTACAGCTCCCATTTTCCAAAATCCCGTTTTTTATATGGGTATGAAAATGGATTCCAACCATCTAAAAAATAAAGATTAGTCAACAATAGCATGATAGGACTAAAATCTAATGAATTTCAAGCAAAGTATAATACGTTACCCACTTTTACAAAATCAAATTGCCTAAAAAATATTAAGTTTTCAAACTTGCTAATCAAAATACTATAGTAGCCATTTAGAAAACACAGGTGATTCTTATTTTAGAAAAGATGTATTTCAAAGTTTTATATTTTTTTGCAACCTAAAATTAAACAAATTTTACATTTTCAATTTCACTTTCATCTCTCACTTTTATCAATAAAGATAATGTAAAAGAAAATGATGGGTCCTTTTTAAGGAACCAATGTCATGGTAGAAAAAATATTAAAAGTAATTAAAATCATATTAAATATGTCGAAATTCACCAAGAGTGTGAAAGAAACTGAATTAAAATCTAGAGATAATACCTCAAGTATATGTCAAGGAGAGGTAGAAGTTTACAAATTATAGGGGCTAAGCACAGGTGGATTGCAGATTCTGGTAGAAAGCCACAATGAACAACAGTGACCCATGTACCATGGAGACCCACTGTATACTAGAGACAGCATTAAAAATCAGTGAGTAAATAATACACTATTTAATAAGTGCAGCTCGCGCAATTGGTTATCCTTATGGAAAAAAAAATTTAAATTAATCCCTACTTAATAACATGCCCCAAAATCAAAGGAACACGGATTAACATTTAAACATGACAGGCAAAATTTTAAAATGCTTAGAAAAAAATACAGAGGGATATATTTATGATCTTGAGGTTTAAACGGGTTTTAAACAAGATGAAAAAACCCACAAACTTTAAGAAAAAGGCTGCTAAATATGACCACACTGAAATTATAAACTTATCTTGATGGATGGATGGATTGGATAGATGCATGCATGCATGCATGGATGCTTGGATGAATGGATAGAAAGATAGACAGGCAGACAGAAAAGATAACATGAAGACCGGCTACCAACAGGGAGAATATATTTGTAATCAATATATCAAGAAATCAACAGGGACCAGTTCCAGGAGAAAGACATCACACTTGGTAAAGTGAGGGTTGGTGAAAAAGAAGAAGACCCTCAACGAGATGGACTGACACAGTGGCTGCAACAATGGGCTCAAACATAGCAACGATTGTGAGGATGGGGCAAGACCGGGCAGTGTTTCGTTCTGTTGAACATAGGGTCACTATGAGTCAGAACCAACTTGATGGCACCTAAAAATAACAACATACCAAAAAAGAGAGAGTATCCAGAATATATGAAGAACATATATAAGTGAATGAGAAAAAGAAAATAAAACAGTAGAAAAACAGGCAAAGGACACTTGCATGGTCAATAAACACATGTAATGATGTTCAAGTTCACTCACACCAGCGAAGCACAAAGTAAAACACTGAGATGCCATTTCATATTCACTGGATTAGCAAAATTTTCAACTTTGAAAATATCAAGTAGTCAGCAAAGACATAAAACAATAGTGCTGCTGAGGGCACAAACTGGTAATACAACTTGTCATTACAAAAAATAAAATTAAAAAAAACAGTTTCCATAGAGTAGATTCCAACTCATGGCAACCCCACTTCTTTCAGAGTAGAACTGTGCTCCATAGGGGTATCAGTAACTGTGATCTTTTGAAAGTAGATATGTAGGCCTTTAATCCGAGGTGCCTTTGGGCGGATTCAAACCTCCAGCCTCTGGGTTACCAGGCCAATGCTTAACCGTTTGCACCACCCAGGGACTCCTGGCATTACACAGCAAAAGTTAAAAATATGTTTATGCTATGACCTTGCAATTCTAGGTAATAGCCTAGAGAAATTCTCACAAAGGTGCAAAAGAAAGCATTCAAAAATACTCGCTGAAGGGAGAATGTTGACATGTTATGGGGTTGTTAACCAATGACATAAAACAATATGTGTACTGACTGTTTAACGAGAAACTATTTGTTCTGTAAACCTTCGTCTAAAGTACAATTAAAAAAAAATACTTGTTGAAGAATTGTTTGCAATAGCAAAAAACTGCAAATTATCAAAATTTAAATTAGCATAAATAAAATGGGTTAATATATTACGGTATAATTAAAAATAAAATGCTATACAGTTGTACAGCAGGAAGACTCTCAACGAGATGGACTGACACAGTGGCTGTAACAATGGGCTCAAGCATAACAATGATTGTGAGGATGGGGCAAGACCGGGCAGTGTTTCGTTGTACACAGGGTCGGTATGAGTCACTGTGAGTCAGAACAGACTCAACGGCACCTAACAACAACAATAACATACAGTAGTATTGTATGAATGAATTAGAGTGACTATATCAATATACAGAGCCCTTGTGGTTCAGTGGTTAAGAGCTCAGCTGCTAACCGAAAGGTCAGCAGTTCGAATTCACCAGCCCTTTCTTGGAAACCCTATGAGGCAGTTCTACTCTGTCCTATAGGAATGCTATGAGTTAGAATCGACTCAATGGCAATGGCTTTTGTTTTTTAATCAATGTATATAAGAGGCTTAGCTTTCGGCCTATCTCGTAGGACTCTTTCTTTCCCTTGAACACGCAGAGGCCATTGTAGGGTTATTAATTGGTCTAATTTCAAAATTATCGTGTCTCAGGGAATAGGGAGGCCCAAGGAGAGTGACAGACAGGGCAGCAGCCAGTTGGTGGAGCAGTCAGAACACACAAAACGTTTATTAAGTTAGCCGTCTTATATGGGTGTGGTTCGTGATGCCCCTAAACAATAATAATAGTAACATCAAAGATTACTGATCATAGATAAACATAACAGATATAATAGTAATGAAAATGTTTGAAATATTGTGATAACTACCAAAATGCAATGCAAAGATACAAAGTGAGCATATGCTGTTGGAAAAATGGCACCAATAGACTTGCTTGACGCAGGGTTGCCCAAACCTTCAATTTGTAAAAAATGTAGAATCTGTGAAGCGCGATAAAGCAAAAGCATAATAAAACAAGGTATGTCTGTATATGCATGTGATATTACTTTATCAAAGCAGAATTTAATCCATAGAGGGGAAAAACAAAACAAAAAAGCTTGAAATATATGAATGTTTGGGTACCGTAATACTTCATACACGTACTAAATTTCTTTCTAAGCTAATCAGTTAAGACAATTAAGAAATATGAATGACAAGCAGCAGATCTTTTCCTGGTTAGTTAGGTTTGAAAATAACGGGTACGGTTCATTAGTTCATTCATTCATTCATTAAATATGTACTGGGTATCTAATATGGGCCCTGCTCAATGCCACATTTGAAATTAGTGTTGAAAATGACAGGGAGAAAAGGTAAAATTGAGTAATTAGTACATTAAAATGAATCGCAAAGTGTACAAGGCAGTACAACAATATTCTGATATAATTAACACTGTTATTTTGAAAGCTAAACTTCAGTTATATGGGAAAATTATATATGCAGATTTGTTGTTTCCAGCAATGTGAAAATAAATGTGTTTCTGAATATCCATTTTTGAATATCAGCTGAGCCTTTTCTTTAGTTTGTAGATGCTTAATTTGAGTTTTAAAATCTACCTAGGCAAGTAAAGTAGTAATATGGGGGGAAATTAAAGAAAAATACTTTTACTGTATCACATTTTTCTTTTATAATGTCTTAATGATCTAAAACACCTTAAGCACATGGTGATTATCTATAATTCTACCTTGTGAAAATGTGTATTTTTCCCTATCATCTTCAAGAGTTTTGTTTTATCACCAATAAAAATTGAAAGACACATTTTAGGGAAATTTATGTCATGTGAGGTAGATCATATGATTTTATAATAGCAAATAAAGTAGTAGTAGCAATCATTATCACCATTATCATCAATGGTCCTAAGGCACGTCAGAGTATATACTAAAGAGGATATTTTCAGAACTAGATTATTCAAACTTTTTCACTTTCATCCTATATGACTTATCCCTGAGCACTCTTGGACATGATCTAAATATATTTTAATTAAGTAGTTAATGCAAATGGTTTGTATTCCCAAGTAGGCCTCAAGGGTAGGACTAAACATATTCTGTCACTAAATCTGACAATTATTTGCTTCTCTATCAGGCACAGAAGGAGCCCTGGTTGCACAGTGATTTTGAACTCACCAGCTGCTCTGTGGGAGAAAGATGTGGCAGTCTGCTTCTGTAAAGATTTACAGACTTGGAAACCCTATAGGGCAGTTCTACTCTGTCCTGTAGGGTTGGTATGAGTCAGAATGGACTCAAAAGCAGTGGGTTTGTTTTTTGTTTTGTTTTTTTAGTTATTAGTCACAGATTAGATGTTGAAAGTTCTCTAGTTTAGTGGCTCTCAAACATTCACTCTCATCAGAATCATCTGGGCTTGACTGCTAGGCCACACCCCTAGAGTTTCTAACTCAGGAAACCTTTTGTGGGGTCTAATAATTTGCATTTGTTGATGCTGCTGGCACAGACACTACACTTTAGAAACAACTAACCGTGGTTAAATCAGTGCATTCAGTGTAGAGTCTTCTCTAGTCATAGCTTTGTGAGTGAATTTCTAGATCAAATTAGATTTACAAACCATCAAACAATATTCTAAGTCAATAGATCAAGGAAATTCTGAAATAGAAAATATGATTAATAATCCTTCAAACAAATCTTACTCACATGAAATATAAGATTTGGGATTGACTAGTACTGGAAAGCCCAAGTAAATGACTTGTGAGATACAGATTATAGAGCAGATGGGAGATATTAAGGAATTTGAATCAATCAATGAGAGAGAACAATAATTAACGATTTGAACATGAAAAGATAACATATATTAAGACTACTATTCAACATATTTTAATTATTATCTAGAAATAATGTTTTCTATAATATTCTTATCAAGAGATTGGTTAAAAAGTATGAGCCACAAGTCACAAAATGAATAAAAACTTGACGGTTTATACCGAGAAAAGTGATATTAAAGTTTCTAAATGTTAACATAATAACTCATCCTCCCTCTACATGTTTAATTCCTTACAATA